CCCAGGCAGTTTCCATCTGTTGCTCTGGTTGCCTTAATGTGTGACTTCAGTGTCCCGATTTGTTTTGCGTACTGTTTGGGTTCACCATCTAGATACGAACACTACCAAGATATTATTTCTTGTATTTCTGTTTGTGTTTTGACTGATTGTATACTGGTTGGTTTCACCATCTAGATATGAACCCTCTACCAAGATGTTGTTTCTTAGATTTCTATTTGTGTTTTGACTGATTTTAATAAGAAAAAATTGAGTCTATCTCAGAATTTTATCAAAGAAGGTATCAAATAAGTTATTGAGAGGAACTTACGTGAGAAGGCATGGTTCTTTCTTGGGAGGAACATATATGACAGTTTGGTTGGATGGAAATTTGTAGCTCTGTAGCTGTATGGTGGTTAACCCAGATGGTTATTTGCATAATAAGTTTGATATAATTATCATATTGAGTCAACCATACAAATTTCATTACTGTGCTTATTGTTGATACTGTGGAGAGCACTACTGTGTTTCATTATATCCTCTGTGTTGTGAGTTCTGCAAACTTTTTCTGCCTGGTTTTAGTACCAAGATTAGTTATGCTTTTCTCAAGACAATTTGTGTGCTTCTATTTGATCCTCGTTATAAACCCCATTTCACTCTTTTCTTTGCCTACTCAGTAGCTTCTAGAATTTTGACCCTTTCCTAACAAACGGTCCATCAATCACTGTGTACATGTTGATCATCACCTCCTGTCTTTCTTTTAATTGTCTCCTTCTATTTTCAGTCTCTTGATTTCTTCAGATGATCATTCTGTTTACTTTCTGTTGTATCTCAGTCTGTAATCTCTCATGAACACAAGAGGAGGTATATAGTCCTGGTGACATTCACTCTGACTGTGGAGAAGTGATTTGACATAAACTTTGAGCTGGTCATGATGGAGCTGAATACCTCCCCAGGAAAATGTTTAGGTGATGGGGCAGAGACTGCATTTGCTTGGATATCTGCCATTAATTAACACTGTGGGAGAGGTGTTTTCTTTCTTTTTTTTTAAAAATTCTTCCATTGTTTTTTCATGTATGAAATGGGGATTAGTGTTTTGATGCACTTAACTGCAACACACAATTTCTGAGTCATACTTAAGCAGTTTAATATTAGCAACATCACCCCCACCCCCCAGAAATTGAAAGAGTTTAGACCGAAGGGAGAGCTGTTACAAAAATGTGGAGGTATGAAAGTGTGTGCCTGTCAACTATACCAGCAGAGAGAATATGAAATGACATAAATGTAGGCCTTGTACAGAACTTACAGAAAATATGTATCTAGGCCAGAATGGATGGGATGCAGAAGGCAGTGTATATTGATTGAATGCTGCTGAAACCAGTAAACTGGACAAGACTTCCAAGATAAAGAGTGAGATGGGTAACTATTAATGGTGTGGGGCGTGTCTGTATCTTGTGTTCCCAAGAGAGTAAATCACAGACTCCTGTGAACATAGAAATTACCTGGGGACCTTGTTAAATCGAATAGCTTCTTTTGGCTCAGTTCTGCCTCCATAGATCCAGACTTAGGAGGTCTAAGGTGGACTCTGAGATGCAGATTTTGAAATGAACATAATAGATGATTTAGACATGTATTATCCTTAGATGAGCTCGGAGATGTGTTAGAATAGTTTTTAAGGAAATGCTGGCTCACTGGCAGATCTGATGAAGTTTGGGGGGAAGGGCATATTGAAACAAATGGTGTGCAGTAACCTGTTTGCATTCATGATGGTTTTCACAGACCCATGCTATTGCTTTGATTCTCCTTCTGGGAAAAAAATGAGCATCAGTTATGCTAGACATTTTTTTTTGAAGATCACATGATTCTTTCACTACTTTTAGGGAGCTAGGAATTTGCCCCTGTAGATAGGCATTTCCCAAAGTGAGTGTTATAGCCCCTGTGGTGTATTGGAGCTACCCAGTGGAGATTTCCTTAACCTCAGGGGCAATTGGAGGCTGTTTGTTTGTTCACTTAAGGGTAGATTTATAGTGAGGCACTGAGTGATTGATATTTTTTTTTCCTGAAAAGAGGGTGATAGACCATAGGAGTGTGGGGATCTCTGCTCTAGATATAGTGGGAGACCAAGAGAAGGAAAAAGAGAGCAATGAGAGGAAGGAAGTAGAAAGGAAGAGAGAGCAGCATGAGGTCAGAAAATGAGAAAAATAGATATGGGAAAAGAGCAGTCGGATCTGATTGGTTGCGAATCTATTTGTGAAGAAACCCAGCCAGTATTTAACCTGTTTTGAAAAAGCTAGACTTCCAGCATTTTTAATTAGTGGATTGCTCGCTTTTGAAATTGCCCAGTTGGGAATACTCAAGTTTTGATGTGTTTTATCTGCCTGCTAATTAGCAGGCTGCTTGGGTGACCATACTTTTCTCTTTATTCTGTGGACAGAAGATGTAGAGGAAGGATCTCTAGTAGCATGCCAACTCAAGTCTGGGTTAAAATACATAAAACAATCATTTTGCAGGAGTTTGTACTAAATGCTAACTCAGATTAAAACTCAGATTGTGTTTCATTTCTCCAACTTGGTCCGTCTCTTTGGCATTTGTATACGTTCAGCCTCCCCCCAAGCCCTCCATCCCGCCTTTGGTACAAAACTTCTCAGTCATGGTGTTATTTGTTTGACATTAGTGGCCAGAACATTTTTGGTTGCTGTAGTTGTTTCAATGATTCCAAGTATCTCTGCTGTTCTCCACCCACTCAGTGCCAGTAGTGCCCCCCCCCCCCCCTTGGCTAACTGTGACCACCAACTGTGTCTCTAAGCTGTCTCTGAGGGCAAAAACTGCCTTTAAGTTCAAAACCACTTGCACGTGTTGATATGTAGATTTTCCTTTTCTGCCTGCATATCTTATTGAAAACCCTCTTGGAGCAGGTAGATACAAGGGATTGAAGCACATACCTTAAGCATCCTGCCCTGTATTGCTGGTTGTGACCCCCTCCCCTCAATCCTGGAGCATCTCTAGGCAAGCCCCTCTAACAATTAGCCAGTAAATAAATGACACTTTTTTTTTTCTTTTTGAATCAGACCCAATGATGCTCAGGGGTTACTCCTGGCTCTGCACTCAGGAATTACTCCTGGCGGTGCTCAGGGAACTATACGGGATGCTGGGAGTCGAACCCTGGTTGGCCGCATGCAAGGCACACGTGCAAGGCACACGTGCAAGGCACACGCGTGCAAGGCACACATGTTGGCCGCGTGCAAGGCACACGTGCAAGGCACACGCGTGCAAGGCACACTGCTGTACTATCGTTCCGACCCAAATGAGACATTTTGAAGTTTGACAAGTGAAAATGGGTTCAAGCCATGAAATCTTGTGGTAAATGAAGGGATTTTGTTTGGTTCCTTCAATAGTTTGGTCCAAGGTCATGGAGGCAGTTCATCTCTGTTTTGAATGAAAGGGAAATCAAGATATGCAGACCTGAAAAATCTAAGTGGTGGAGAAATTTTGTAATTCAAACTGTTTTTTTGGTTTGCTTGAAAATCTAGATTTTTGGTTAAGGAAAGAATCATGTAGCTTACAAAACTTATTTTTAAATACTATAAGCTCTATCATCCTGTTGAGCCTGTCCAAGAGAGTTCAGAGTATAGAGTTATTGAACAACAGAATTTGGGAAATTACCTGCACTTTCTCTGCCAACTGGCTGAGTTCCCTAAAGAGCGCAGTCACTGATTTTAAGTAACTTTCAGGGAATATCTGTTTGGGGTTATGTTAACTTCTGAATAGCAACTAAAGGAACATAAATATTTGTTTTCTAAAAAGGGGGAGAGAATTCAGTTTTCGTCTTAATAGTTGCTTTGAATTGTTTAATGGTAATAGTTGCTATTTTATCTCTTAAATTATTCCAAAACACTTTGTATTCTACTATACCCGAACCAAACTAGCAGTAATAAAAGGAAAGACAGTGATGCCTTAAGCGAATAAACAGTATCATTGAAATGTTAGGAAACACAATAAATGGTATTATGTCTCCTGAACCGAAGTTTCACACCTCCTCCTCCAGTTCTGTCAGAGGAAGTTTGTGATGGCCGTCTGTTACCAACCGTGATCAAAATAATAGAACAGTGAAACTTTTTATACTTATAAAGGGCCTTTCATCAAAAATCTCAAAGTCATTTCTAAATATAGAGCAACTGATCTTTAGAACACTTTCATGTTTTAAGCCAAGGAAACAGTAACTTTTCCTGTTCTACCTTTCATTCTGTGTATTTGCCCCTTGCAGAATTGATCGCACATTCAGTACTCTGGTCAGCATTAGAGCTTCATTGGTAGAGTTTAAAAAATTTCAACTTTCCAGTCGTTCTTGTTATCTCTTAACCATTTACCAGAAATTAAAAAAAACCACGTTGCTTTAATCACTGTCATTTCCGCATCATCTCAAGGTCCAGATTGAGGATTTTAAACCAAGTAAAATATCTATTAATTTTTTTTAATTGAGTCAGTGTTCTCTTCCTAAATTCTTTGTGATGCAGTGATACTGAATACTTTTTTTCCCCTATTGGTTTTTTATCTGATTTGTTGCATGTTTGTTGTTTGGTATGGTACACTTTGACTTGAGAACAAAAAGCCCAACAGCATTATGGTTGGATGTTCCATTATTAGTACGGCTATTTACCATAATTTAATATGTTTTTGTATGAAAGTCATGCTAGTATATTTCCAAACTTCATCCAAAAGCTTTTAATAAAATCGTAGGTGTAGTTTCTTGTCTGTAAATGTAGAGGCTATGAAACGTTGTGAAGGATGGAAGTAATTTTTCTGTTCATACCTCTGGTTCCTGAGGGTCCAGTTCATTTCTGCTGTGAATTTAAATGAGTTAATTTAAGTACGTGGGTCAGAAGCCACTATCATCATGGTAGCCCCATGCTTGAATCTTAATTAAAGGCAACAGGAGATTAATTTGAAACATTAATTTAAAATTGCACCTACAAAAAGAAAGAATTATTGCAAGAAAGCCTAAAGAACTTTTCTCTTGTCCCTAGATGTAGAAGACAGAAGTAGCTCAGGGTCCTGGGGGAATGGAGGACATCCAAGCCCGTCCAGGGTAAGTATATCTAATCTTTTCTTCCTGCAACCAGACATCCCATATATGTAAATTGACAAACCGAAGGTCAGTTCTTTCCCTCTCACATGCACAGAACTGACAGATCTATAAGCATTCTAAGTTTCTAAGTTTAATGCGGATCCACTTGTCTTTGGCAGTTTTTAATTCTCTCATTGGATTACATTATTGAAAATAGCACCTGTTTCTCTTTGGCGATTATAAGAAAAGTCCTTTATTCAATATTTGCTTTCTTTGCCGGTTATTGATCTGGTGTTACAGAAAGTTGAATGTTGGTGCTGCCACAGCTCCCGAAGTCATAATATCCTTGATTGGTCTTGGTGTCAATAGATTTATAAATAATTCTAAAGACATGGCTTGAGATTATATACAACTAGTATTATCTATATAACAAATCTAAATTTATTTCACCTTGTATGCATATTCTTATTCTACCTGTGAGGCCTCTGTTACTAGTTGGGCTCACTAATTTATTTGGGTGAAATAAAAATAAATGTTACTGTTTCCTTCAGGATTTGATTATCACTTTGGGTGTAATGGGGAACATCATCAAAGAATCTGGGGGTGCAGTATTAGGTTATGTGTGTTTTTGTACGTATAGATCTTGGGCATGTTATCTTCTCTTCTTTGGTCTTCCATTTTTCTAATTTGTTAAATGAAGAAATAAAACCAGAAAATTGTAACTGTTTCTTCCAGCTCAAATATGTAAGATTTTGTATGTAATTGGTTGTTAATTGAATCATTTCTAGGCCCTTTAAAAATCCATTTAGATTTAATAATAGCACCGTAGCACTGTCCTCCCGTTGTTCATCGATTTGCTCGAGCGGGCACCAGTAACATCCCACAACAAATTGTGAGACTTATTGTTACTGTTTTTGGTGTATTGAATACATCATGGGAAGCTTGCCAGGCTTTGCCATGCGGACGAGATACTCTCGGTAGCTTGCCAGGCTCTCCGAGAGGGACAGAGGAATTGAACCTAGATCATCCACGTGCAAGGCAAACACCCTACCCGCTGTGCTATCGCTACAGCTCAGATTTAATAATATTGCCATGATATGTTTAATTTAAAATAGATAGAAGAATGCAATTTAAAAAAACCACTATCTGACACTCTTCTCTCCTTCCCCCTGTTAGTTGAAGCATTGGGTAGGGATTCACATAAATTTGAAAACTTTGGGGGGGGGGTAGTCTCTTTTGGCATGAGCCAAGAATGGTAACGAAGCTTTTAAAATAACGATAGCTTACTGAACTGTCAGCAAGCTACAGTTAACCATTTCCACCTGTCCTTTATCCTTGTGGTCCTCACTCTAGTCTTCAGGGGACAGCAGGATCTTCAAGCTTACCAGTAACTTTGGTGAACTCGTGCCAGCTGTTGAGTTTGACGTTCTAGTGCATTATATGACTGGGTTAAGGAAATCTTTTCTCCTCCTTATGTTACAGTCTGCACTTGCAGAAATAAATCTATTCCCCTTGACAGCAAGTGTAGGAGATGACAGTACCTCCCTCTATTGTTTAGTTCATTCACACTTTATTAATTTCTTGTGATTCTCAGTTTAAAACATAATACTTTCACCTATGTTCCTGAGAACAAAGTCCATTTAGAATCATTCTGACATTTATTGCATTTATAAAAAATGTCCTGTCATTATTATATTTTTTAAAGAGAACATGTTAGTGAATAATTTTTGATCGGTAGTTTGTAACATATTTTCTAAAACAAGGGAGTTTCCACAAGGCAAACTTTTGAAGCTAACTTTTACAGGGCAACCTTTTTCTTGTCTTTTTCTCTCATCGTCTAATGACCATATTAGCAGCTGCCTTGCAGCACTGTGCTGAGTTTTAAATTAGATAATGTATGTTAAAATTTTAATGGACTCTCTAGGATAGAGACACAGTGAATTATCATCAGTATTAAGCTGTATCTAGAATAGAATGAGTCTAAAGCCTAGACTAGGACTAGGGTGTTTTAAATGCAACATCTTGTTATACATTGACATATGGGCAGTATTAGATTATAGTATCGTCCTGATTTTAATAAGTAAAAATGGCAGTTGAAAAGGAGTTGCTGGAAATCTTAGGGGTTCCAATAATTCTCCAGTGAGGTCACGTGCATTTTTATTGTTCATCCAGCATTCGTCTTTTGTGTGTGGGCAGATTCTGCCCTTTGGCTAATATGCCAACCGACACCTCTGAGTAAATTTGACTTGGACTTTATGGGCAATGCAGCCAGCTGAGCAGAATGGTGTAATTTTTTTTGGAGGGGTCACCTTATTATGCACGTTAGTAGACTAAAATTTCAATCAGAGAAATACATATGATTTCAGTTCTTCCTATATTTTACAAGATTCCTCTATTCAAAATAAGTGATTGGATAGTTTAAAGTTATCATTTAAATAAAAAATTCCCAATTAAAGCAATGTGAGTTTTTTATTTATTTATTTTTTTTGAGGAAGGCACACCTATCAGTGTGTAGGCAGGTTTAGTCTTGACTGTGCTCAGGAGTCACTTCTGACTGCTCAGGGAACCATATGTGGTGCCAGAGATCAAATTGGACTTGGCTATGTGTAAGGCTAGCATCTTAACCCCTGAATTATTTCTTTGGCCTCAGCCTTGAGGTATTGATGGTAATAACACATTTTGACTAGAATTTCATATCTGCTTCAAAACTATTTTGTACCATATTTTGTCCAAGTCCAGAAATATTAATTTAGTCTAAAGTTTTGATATTTATTACTAGTTGTATTATAATATTCTTAACACTCTCATGTATTAATTATTTATGAAATAATTCCATTTTCTTAAAACTACACTAACAAGTCAGTGAAATTTCCATAATATAGAACCAAATGTTTGTGTTTAAATAGCTTTCCCTTGGTGTTCCAAAAGCAATTCATTCCAATCTATGGGTACTCTTGTTAACAACTATATGTAGTTAGTCACATTATTATTCCCAAGATTTCAACAGCTGTTATGAGGAAAATTTGAACTTTGAAAACTTGAATTCTTTGTTACCAACTGGCTTTAAACATTCAAGTTGTGTTAATTTTCCTCCCACCCGTTTTTTCTTTTGGGGCCTACCAGCACCACTTGGGACCTTGCTGCCATTCCAGGTAACACTCAGCCCTACAGTACCAGTGTGATAGTTCCAGGCTTCCGTCGGCTTGCTCAGACTTGACCGTGTTAGAGGGTTACCAGGGCTCTGCTGACGGTGTGAGGGCAACACTAGGGCTAAGCTGGCAATTTCCTAGGACCATGTAGTGTCATTTATGCAACTCAGGGCCTCATGCATGCAAGACATATGTTCTAGCCTCTTGAGCTATCTACCCTAGTTTTATAGATTTCTTATCATCAGATTTCTTGGTGGCAATGGTAGGCTATAATTTCTTCCGGCCAGAGAGATGTCAGCATAAAACAAAATTTATGTATAGCTTGATCTGTGTCTAATTAAAACTAATATTATTTTATTTACAGAACTATGGAGATGGGACTCCTTATGACCACATGACCAGCAGGGACCTTGGGTCACATGACAATCTCTCTCCACCTTTTGTCAATTCCAGAATACAAAGTAAGACTAATTTTAAATTGCTCTGAAGTTTATGCAAACTGATCTCTTACTCTGGAAGGGAAAATAAAAGTCTAGATGGATATCCTGTTTGGGGAAATTTGGATTTCTAGGTAACTCACTGAAGTAATTTCAAATTACACAGAACTATTGATAATATTTGCTTGGTAATAGAACATAAAGGGATATTTTCTACAATCCTGCAATTCAGTGGTGCTGAATCTGCATAGAAATTTTGTTTTTCTTAGACATAATGCACTTTTTCAATATTGCCACAGTAGTTTTCCAAGTGAAGGTCAATGAAGTCATCGTAGTGAGTATTTGAGATAAAAATGGACCAGCCTCTTGGCAACGATAGATAATTCTGTTGTTGTGTGAATTTTTGTGAAAGGGTTGTGCCTTTACTAGTAGGTTTAATGAGCTTAGCAGGTTTTGTGTGCTTTCTTCAAAGTAGTGTGTTCAAGTTGAATTGACAAACTTTGTGCATTTATCAAGGTGCAAACTTTAGTACTAGTCTTTTAGGCAGCCATTTTGCTCTTCAAGAAAACTGCATGTACTTTAGGAAAGTCTGGGTTTCCAGAAGACCCTTCCCAATGACGTCCTTTGATTTCTTCCTGTTTTCACTATCCCATCGGACTGTTTAATGGCAGAAATCTGAGCAGTGAAAATCTAATTTATGATGGTATAAAAGGTCTCAGTGCGTTCTACTCAAGTTTTGATTGAAAAATTATTGTTGTTCTGGTACATGTGTATTGTAAATAATAGCAGTAAATCTCTCAACTTGTTCAAATTCTCTTGCAAATCCATCAGTAAAAGAAGTTAAGTTTCTTACTTTAAGCTGTTGAAAAATGTACAGCTGTAATTTTATCCTTTGGAACCATAATTGCAAATGTTTCTAAAGAATGCCCTGATTTTTAAATCTGTGAAGCTGTACTTATTATTTAAGGTGTAAAGAGGTCTAGACATAAATTTTATCATTTGTTACAAAGTACCATCAAATTCATATAAAAGAAAGGCAGACACTTCAAGAGGTGGTCAAAGTGAGAAATAGTGCTATTTACTTTACATAAGTAATATCTTGTATTTGTACTTTTAAGTGTCACCCCAAATTTAAGAAATTGTGTTTGATTAGAGAGTGGTTTATATCTGTGCTCCTTATTTAAATAGTAAACTTCATGTTTATGGTTTAACTTTATACAGGAAATTTATTGTTGTTTATTTTTTATATCAGTTGTTGATAGGGAGGTTTAAGGACAGTCAGATATATGATTAGATATATAATTAAATATATAACCAATTTCAAAAAATAGTCTTAGAACTCTCAATAACAATACCAGTAATTTCAAAATCTAATACCACTGCTTCTTTCTTTTTCAAAACTTTATAAAATTAAGAATTTTTAAAAGAAATGTTGGGAAGCGACGCTTGAATATATTAGAAACTTCCTTGAAAATTCTAAAACTCTCCTTCGACGAGCTCAAGTCAGTAAAATAGAATTAAAAGAGAAAAAAACCCCACCACGACTTATATTCAGAATTTTAAGCTATATCCTTGAAAGAACATGCTTCTAGAGAATAACTTGACGAATTAATATCGCAGAAACTAACAAACCATAGGAAGATAATACCTAATTGTTCTCCCTCATGTGGTCTCACAGACAACTGTTTTACAAACCAAATTAGCTTTTCATTCCAAATAGTATTTAAAATATAAGTGGGCTGCGAGTCTAGAGCTAGAGTGGAGAGAACGGAGTCTTTTCACTTAGTTGTTGTTGAAGCTGAAAGTCCATGTCAGCTGTGGTCTTTTATCCCCTCTGCCCTCCTTCCCATTAAACTCTTAAATATGGAGGCCAAGACAGTCTCCTGCATTGTGATAGGAATCGCTCCTATGTCCGGGCGGCTCCCACCCACTGTTCCCCGTGAAAGGCCTTCTCTGTTCGATAAGCTGTCTGGTCTGAAACATGGCTCTGTATTGTTTACAAACTGCTACATTTTCCACCTCAAGCAGATTTTTGTACAGAAAAGAATTGTGCTTGGTCTAAATGGTTTATCTGACATTAACAGTGTCGTGTCAGGCTGGGGTCACAGAAGTCGCCCTCAGAGCGAGAGGCCAGGGCGCAGTGTGCAAGAAAAGGAAAAGGAAGAAAAAGACATTGAAACACCACGAAATACCTTGCATTTTTAGTCTGGAGAAGAATTTAAAAAAAATGTTTTTTGTGAAATGCCTGGGATGATGCGTTAGAAACCCTTCCTACCGCTGTTATCATTTCTCACATCCCAAATGCCTCCTTGGTGTGTATCTGGGCTAGATTTAGGGAACAAAGATTCTCAATGATTTTCCCAACCTGCTGTTTGTTTAGAATGAGGCCACCATTGAGATGAGCCAGGGAGTATGTTTCACCTTTACAAAGAGAAGATAGGTCATTTTCAAGAAATCAGAGATTGCCTATTTATAAGTGGCAAGGAAGAGAAAACAAATAGGATCTGTTTGTGCAAACAATGGAAGCTCATAGTATCTATGGCCTATGGAAAACTGTTCTCTGCATCCAACTCCATGTGTTATGATCATTGCGGAAGTTTTCATTCCACTAAAAGGAAGTATTAGGCTGTACTGTAACTTTTTGACAACATTCCAATATGCACCTTCCGAGTCTTTAGTTTTTAATAAAACTTCACAGAATTTCTTTACATGTCAAAGAATTAAATCTGCAGTGATGTCACATTGGGGTAAAAGCTATAGCATCAGAAATAAATCAGCTTCTTTATTGGACCAGATTCTCCATTGTCAAATCAATCAAGCCTGTGACTGAATTAGGCGTCTGCTACAGAAATAAGTGACACTAATTTTACGGGAAAGAGTTATTAACTGCAGATGACCTGATTTTTTTTTTAAAGTAAACTGTTCACTTAGTGAGGCTTTATTTTATTGCAAGGAAAGCAAAAGTAATGAGCCACTTTGCCTGTTGGGGAGTGAATTATTGCAGTATATTTTGTTCTTTATGACAGTACACAGTTTTTGAGAAATGATGCAGGCATTGCCAATGTATTTGCTCATAAACTCCTTAATGCTTACTTTCAAAACCCTTTATTGTAACACTGAACTCTGAGTTCACATGAGTGGGTTTACACAACCTTACACTTAAAAAATATTCATTTTGTATCAAAATATCCAAACTCATTTGGGTTATCTCAGATTTCTGCAGTGATTTAAGAGTAATTGAATATCTTCATTAATTCATTTCAGAAATTTATTTGAATATCTTAATATAGTAGTCAAGTTGTTAGCTTGAGTCCATATGTATGTATGTGTAGGGTGTGTGTGTGTGTATGTGTGCATGTTTATGTACATAGTCACACATTTATTGAAGACAGTGCATCACACACACTCTTAAGCATACATACTTGTTATCTCCAGTTGTTGTCAAAGTTTTAAAAACTGTTATTGTATTAATCCTTTAAAGGAAAACATAACTGAATAAAAAAGAAATACCCCATTAAAAAATTAGTGCATAAAACTTTGTTTTCTTGTCAGGTTGTGAGAATAGAGATTTTTAGTACTAAGTCTTTTAGCTGACCAAAAGCTGTCACCAGCTTTAACCAATGTTGTACACTTACACTTCACTTTTTCTGAATCTGAACTCTTTGCTTTCGTTGGTCAGAAGAAGCCAGTTTTTGTTTCGCAATGTTTGAAATTCCATGTTCCCTTTTGGCCCTGGAGAAGACAAATAACTTCTTCCTTATGACCTATGAGTATTAATTATATAATGTATACTTAATCTGTTGTAAACTTGCCCCTTGATGTTTTTAGACATTTTGATTCAACCTTTATTAATGGTCAGAGTGTCTCTCAGAATATGCTAATAAGATGAAGGGGTCATAGCCGGAGTCTTGTGTCATTCAGAGGATTTGATACAATGGAATAGTTTGGAAATCTTGTCAAGAAATCATTATGTAAAGGAGTAGGAATTTTTTTAAACTCTTTTTTGAACAGGGCAGTATGAACATTTTGTAGGTCATAATTCAATTTTTTTTTGTAATTGCAGAAAACATATTTTCTGGCTAAAATCCTTTGCTTCGAAGAAGGATCTAAACATGCCTTTTTTTTCTATTGTCCCAGACCTTTAATTGAAAATGAGATTTTTTGAATGAGCAGGTTCCAATAAGATTATATACATGGATTGGTAACTGAAGGATGTGAAAAGCGATACTTTTCTTCAGTTGGGTGCAGCTTAGTTCAACATCAGCTGCTGCCTTTTTACATGCCCCATTATGAATGGTTCAGTTTCCTTATTGTGCTCTTTCGCTTCTAGTCCCAACCATGATACTCTAGGTACCATTTGCCCCCATCAAGTTAGTGGCTTCTGAACTAGCTGAGTGCAACATTTTCCTGCAGAATTAGATTGAGGTTTCAGGCAGAACTGAAGAAGCTGCTGGCTTATAGGATGACCTTTGAATCTCATCTGGGTTAGCGGTTGATATTTTGATTTGGTTACTGTGGTCATATTGTGACAGCTGCTAGCTCATTATAATTCGGTTCCACTGCTCCGTTTGCCTAGCAGGAATATTTAGGTTTGTATTACTTCAAAGTGTTTATGGCGAGCCGGAGTTTAGCCCAGCACAAAGGTGAAGTGTTGTGAGCATTTTCAAATCCCAGTTCGTAAAATGGCGAATGTGTGAATGTGAGTGTATGCTAATTGGGGAGTTTTTCTTTTCTTTATAAAACTGGAAATACCCAACAAAGAGGCTTTTACTCAGAAACCTTGAAAACCTTAGGGAGTAAAGGAAAGAATGACCACAAGTACACTGTTTTATTTTTAAATCTTTATTAAAGCACCACGATTTACAAAGTTGTTCATAAGAGAGTTAGAGGTTCATATACAGTATTTCAGTATCAATCCCACCACCAGTGTTAGCTTTCCTCCACCAATATCCCTAGTTTTCCTCTAACTTTCCAGCCTACCCTTTTCTTCTTTTTAATCTTTCCACTGTGAGACACACAGTTAG